CCAATTATTTTTACTGAGTTTGAGCAACTTTTCACATATTTAAAAATAATTATTTTCTTTATGTGAACTGGCATTTTATGTATTTTGCTTTTATTTCTACTGATTTACTAATCTTTTTATTGATTGGTAGGAGATCTGTATAAAGAAATTAGTCCATTTGGGGTCTCATTAATGTCAAAAAATTTATCCAGCTGGTTCTTGTCCTTTAACCTAGTTTACACCTGTTTGTTTGATTTTATTGTGCTAAAATAGCTAAAATATTTTATATTTGGGTGATGAAATTTATCCACCTTTGCTTTGTGATTTCTAGGTTTTGATATTTGCTAAGATAGGCTTTCAGTATTCTGAATTTATAAACATATCTTACAATTTCTTATAGTAGTTTTATGAATATTTCATATGTGTTTTTACAACTTTTACCAAATTAAAATTTGAGAGATAGCATTTGTTACTATCTTACTTGTTTTTTAAAAAACTACCAGTAATAACAAAACCATATATTGAATAAATTCATATATTTTAAATTGATATGACATGCCAGCTCACTCACTTAGTCACTATGTATTTGGCTCTACTGCTTACTTTTATAGACTGTTTCCATTGGGTTATCTATTCATATGCCAGTACTACATGCTTAATTGTTGTTTTAAAATGTTTTTTAATGACTACTAGAGTAAACATCATCTACTTCTTTTAAAAAACACTCCCTGACTAATGTACTTTTTTTTTTTTTTTTTTTTTGAGGCGGAGTCTCGCTCTGTCGCCCAGGCTGGAGTGCAGTGGCTGGATCTCAGCTCACTGCAAGCTCCGCCTCCCGGGTTCACGCCATTCTCCTGCCTCAGCCTCCCGAGTAGCTGGGACTACAGGCGACTGCCACCTCGCCCGGCTAGTGTTTTGTATTTTTTAGTAGAGACGGGGTTTCACCGTGTTAGCCAGGATGGTCTGGATCTCCTAACCTCGTGATCCACCCGTCTCGGCCTCCCAAAGTGCTGGGATTACAGGCTTGAGCCACCGCGCCTGGCCACATTTTTTTCCTATATGAACTTTAGAGTGAGCTTGTTTAGTTGAAAAATTGTAATAAATATATTTATGGTATTAGTATGCCTATGTATATATCCACATTTTCTTTTATGTTTCTCTTAAGTTTCTACTTAGATATTTTATATTTTAATTTCCTATCTAAATGCAAATTTATGCATTATATTTTGTAACTGACTCTTCTATATTTATAGGAAGGCTATCTGTGTGTGTGTGTGTGTGTGTGTGTGTGTGTGTCTATATGTGTGCACTAATGTTAAACCCACTTATTTTATAAATTGTAAATTTTCTTTTATAATTTACATTAGCTTTTTAGTTTATTATTTTGGGTTTTCTAGACATAAAATCATTACATCTGAAAAGGACATTAGTTTTACCTCCTTACCTCCTCTTCAAATTTTCATGCTTATTTTTTTCCATCAAATTGTTGTAACTGGTATTACATAATAGATTTTAAATAAATGGGCACACTTGGACTATTCTTCACTCTAGTGAGGCCACTCTAATGACCTCTAAGGCACAGCACAAGGACTCTTGTCTCCCATTTCCAGTGCATGCACTACGGCCATTTTCTCTATACCAGCATGTGCTCAGGAAAAAAAAAAAAAAAAGAGTAAGACATTAACGTCAGTGTAGGAAGGAAATAAGTGTTCATGAATGTGCAGGATAGGATAAAGGAGGGAAATTATCTTTTCTCTACAGTAAATAAAAAGAGACTTATCAAGAATCGGTAGAATTTGATGTCTTAAGCTTTGAGGTTGCATTTGACAGAAATTGGAACTCATTGTCATTTGATTTAAAAGAAAGGGATTATAAAATCTTCCACTTCACCATAGCAGGAGTTATGTGGTTATCTAGGGAAAAACGTACTATGATAGTCCAAAGGACCGTCTTGGACTGTTTCCCCTTTTGTCTAGTTTTCATTGCCATATTCTTCTCTTTTCCTCCATTTATCACACTGCTGAAAATTGAGTCAGAGATTTATTTATTTAAGATATAACCGTTGTCTGATACATCAAGCATAGTAATTGGACCAAATATGACACTAAAGAAAATCTAAAGAAATAATGTGTACACTATAAATAAATGTCAAAGATTATGAATAGATAAGATCCTCTTGGGTTTTCTCTGTTCCAACATGGGCTACAACTTAAAGAAAAAAATCTGTCAATAAAATAATTATTTGTTTTCATAATCACTGTTTTATTTAAAAAATAAAATAGAAATGGAATATATTTTAACATATGGTATTTTGAGCAACTACAATTTAAAATATAGCTTGTTTCTCAGCCATTGGGAGAATAACATTTAATATTATGTGTTTTACATTGATGCAGATTCTGTTCTTTCTGTCTGTAGATAAAATGGTCCTAGTAGTGCATTTTTCCTGAAATATATAGTAATTAATACATTTCATTAAAATAAGATAAAATATTCATGCATGTCCCATAGCACAATTGTAATTTGTCTTAAATTATCACTATATATAATATAAAATACTTTATTAGAGATTTTAATTATATAAAAACCATAATGCTTATATTAAAATTAGAAAAATTAAGAAAATATCATGATCTCAATACGAAGCTAAGTTCCCAGAAACATTAAATAAATTAAGAAAGGCATGATGTCATTATGTTTTCAAAATATTGTATAGAAAGAATCACTAGGTTTGAATTCTTAGTTTTGTTTTGGTCGCTATCAAAAACCTACATTTATGGATGATGATAATATTATTAAAAAAGAAAATTATAACAACTTAATCTTTTGCTTTTGAGATGATTCAAACAAAAGTAAGAATTCAAACCAAGTGATTCTGTATAACATTTTGAAAACACAAGGACATCATGCCTTTCTTGATTTATTTAATGATCCTGGGACTTTAATTCTAGTAAACTTCCAGTTTCAAAAACAAAATTATAAAGCATATGTAAAAGAGACAATGATGCGAAATTGCACAATTACCTGTCTTAATTTTTAAAACTCAGAAATTTTAGTTTGATTCACATAATCATTTTTTTCTCAAGAACATTTATATGAATGCGACTTGATTTGAAAAGTAATTTGTGACCTGAGACATATAAAACTGTATGTTTTGATGTGACAAGTTTTAAACTGTATAGTAAAAGCCAGCTGAGAACCTTCACTCATCCAGTCATCAACAAATAAAATTGAAAAAAAAAATTCTTTAACTGAATTATTATTTAACCTTTTATTACAGGAAATGCATTATTTAATGTTTTCCAAAATATAATGAGACATCAAATTGAAAGTACATACTACAAGTCAATCTAAAATCATGACATTTAATTGGTAAATGTGGTCAATCCCTTCAACATTCATAGTGGAGATGAATAAATTAAAAAGGCATCAAAATGGAAGATAGGTGACCCTGCTAAAAAATTGTTAACTGCATTTGTCTACTTTTAAAAATAAATCTTACATTGAATTTCATATGTGAACTATTTTCTAGTACTTTTTTTTTTTTTTTTTTGGAGAGATAGGGTCTCAAACTCAAGCATTCCTCCTGTCTCAGCCTCCAAAAAGTGCTACAACACCTGGCCTCTAGTCTTTCTATTTATAAGTCGGAGATATAATAGCATTTAGGGTGAGTGGTGGAAACTTTTGCAGTTTTTCCTGTAACTATCTGACTCAGCATCAGCTGAAAATACCCTTGTATTATTTTAACATTTTCCTTTCCCCTACTAAATAATGTGTCACTCTGGCTATGCCCTGAGCTGCTGACTCAGTTCTGTCTAAGATGATGCCTAGGGATCTTAAGCAATGATTGAAAATGCAGGAAGTTTTCCCCTTAGAAAAGCCATGGTTGGCCGGGTGCAGTGGCTCACACCTGTTACCACAGCACTTTGGAAGGCCGAGGCCAGCAGATCATGAGGTCATGAGATCGACACTATCCTAACACGGTGAAACCCTGTCTCTCCTAAAAATACAAAAAATCAGCCAGGCACCATGGCAGGCACCTGTAATCTCAGCTACTCAGAAGGCTGAGGGAGGAGAATTGCTTGAACCTGGAAGGCAGAGGTTGCAGTGAGCCAAGATCGCACCACTGCACTCCAGCCTGGGTGACAGAGTGAGGCTCCATGGCAAAATAAAAAAGAAAAAGAAAAAGAAAAGCCCAGGTTTTGGTTACTAAATGCACAGACTATTGATCCACAACTTTTAGCCAGTTTACTTTAAATAAAGGGAGCTTCTAGGCCTTTTACCTTTTATATTTTTTAGCCACAGCAAAATGTTTTATTGTTTTATCTGTTTTACGTTCTACTGAACTTACTTTTAATTATTATATTTCTTTTAGCTCTTTAATACTTAATTTCAGTTTTTTCAAATGCAGAAAAATACTCTTATGAATTCCCTGAGTAACTTGCATTTTTAATGAGGAAGACAGACAGCCTTTTGCTTCTAATTAGTTCTGTAAAATCCTTTTAATGCTTTGAAACAGATACCCTTTTGGGGTCTCAAATGACACCTTTGCCCTAAAACACAGTCTTATGGAGGAAATGGATGGCATAGACCTTAAATCACTGCTCCTGGCAGTCACTGAGACTTTTGGCTAAGGATTTCTTCCCACAGGAGCAATAAGCACCAACTCACAGATAGCTTAGGATAAAGACAAGATTATTGTTGCTTTCAAATTTCTAAGCCCATTCAGTTCTTGGTAAATGAGTTCACAAATTTAAGATAATTTTCTGACAGTGGCAAAGCCTTCCATTTAGCCCATAGCATGGGGTAAAAATAAAATCAGAAGTCATCATAATTCCTTTGTAGATATATATCTAAAAATAACCACTCCATAAAAGGTTTTATAAGCTACAAATATTCCAATGTAATTTCTATTTTATTTTGAATTTTTTATTATTAATTATTTTTCTTATATTTTTTCTTTCTTCAAGCCATATCAAATTAATTTTTGCCTGGCCAAATATTTAATAAATCTACTGACTTAAAATGTCACCTTTTTCAAATATTACTTTTCATATAAACATGATACCTTGCATACTGTTTCATTTTCACTTTTGTGTTTTCTGGTACCAAGGCCTCATAATTTGACTTTTATGAATTTCTAATATATATTCTACTTGATAAACTTAGATGCCTTTTTTTTAAGTGAAATATATCCCATTGAAACTTCGGTTTGCTTCAATTATGTAGGTCAATTTGAAAATAGCTTTTATCTTTATAGAACTATTTTATTTGTTCTGAAATATGTGTCTCTACCTATTAGCTTCTTGAATGCCCTTTAATGAAATTTTTTACAAATATCTCTTTCTTTGTCTGTCTCAAATGCTTCTCATTATGTTTGTTCAAAATACTATGTTCTTTTGTTTCTGTTATGAATTATATCATTTTTTGCCGTTATATTTCTAAATGACTCTTTGTTGTATTAAAGAATTTGCCATTTACTCTGTTTTCTATTGCTTAGAACATAATACCTGAAATCGAGTAATTTGTGAAGAAAAAGAATTTCTTTTTTACAGTTTTAGAGGCCGAGTACTCCAAAGTTAAGGGGCCACGCCTGATGAGAGCCTTCTTTCTGGTGGGGAATTTCAGCAGAGTTCCGAAGCTGCCTAGAGTATCACATGATGAGGGGGCTGTTTGTTAGCTCAAGTCTCTCTGCCTCTACTTATAAAGTCAGCAGTCCCATTTGCATGATAACCCATTAATCCATGAGTGGATTAATCCATTCATGAGAGCGAGCCATCAGGACCCAATCACTTCTTAAAGGCTCCACCTTTCAATACTGACACATTGGGGATTAAGTTTCAAAATGAGTTTTGGAGTGGACAAACATTCAAATCATAGCATCACCCCCATTCAAAGTTCTTTAGTTCTACCAATTTTTCTGAGTCCTTGTTTTTTTTTTCTTGCAAATAATTATATATGCAAATAATGTGAGCTCTTTTGCTTTTCCCTTATCTATAATTTATTTTGTTAGTTGTATAATGTGGCAACTCCTTTTACAGTTAGTTGCATAGTGTTGCAACTAATAAAGTATTTTATTCGTTGCACTTCTGAAACAAATCTAAGTAAGTCACAGTGGTGTGGACTTCTACCATGTTGTTTCCAGGCTACAATTCAGAAGTGTGCAAATTTGAGCAACCTATGGAAACACATCATGTGCAGGCTTGCGTCTGCCTCCAGCAGGACTCTTGTAAGTACTGAGCTGCAAAGAAATATATATTATATTGTATCTTTTTGTATTTTTTAAAAAGAATACTGAACCATTTAAAGAATTTTGTGATTAAAAAGGTCTAACAAAAAGGTTAGTTTCCTGGCTGATTTTTGTCTCTTTAAAAAATAGGCAAAGTAGAAAAGAAAGGTAGAGGGTATAAAATGCAGCAATGTCTTCCCAGGAAAGAGAGCAAGAAGTGTTTCTCACTTAGGTTAAGGATATCCAGATGGATAACTGCTAACTGGAGCTCAGAGTACACACTTGGAGTGGAAGAGGTTGGAAAGCTGGGAAGAATGGATGGCATGGTCCTAGAAAGGGCTGGAAGTGGAACACAACAGCCACCAGGAAGCCAAACACCTGGATACAGTATTACAAGTAGAGACCTCAGTCACCCTGACACTTCTACAACCAGGAGAGAAGTTTAAAAAATGGGAAGTTGTGAGTATTGTCTGATTTTTACTTGCCTTCTGAAAATGTAAGATTTTATTTATTATTCTGTGTTATTATTAAACAACATTCTATGAAATAAATCTCAAGAATTTCTGCAAGCAGGAATGTTGACTGTCTAGTACAATTTGGTTTACTGAACTTTATTGGCAATGTGTCAAGTAAAGTTTAATTCTTTCATTTAAAAAAAGATAGACAAGATGATGAGTAGGGAGCTGTTTTCACTTTGACTTGAGCTACCTCACAATATTAGAACGACACTTTACATAAGTGTCTAAATATTATATCCTATTTTTCTACTGGGAACATCACCTGATAACATTTTTATCAGTTAAATCTCCTGATCAGTGTGTCTCTTTGGTCAGTTTGACAGTGAATTTTGTCTTACCTGTGAAGTTAAACCCATGATAAGCACCGCCAGCTCCTCTGTCATCTTATACTGTTTTCCTCTTTGTATATTCAGCTCTTTGTAAGTTTTCTCAGGCAGTTTGATCTTTACTCTCAGTTAATCTCCAACTCACTAGTAATAAAACCTTATCATGAGACATTCAATCATTCACCTACTCTTTCATGCATTACAAAAATATCCATTTACCATATACTATGTCTCAGGCATTGTACAAAGTAGTTTGTTTTAAGCCACTAAATTCAAGGTCTGCAAAATGCTAAGATAATATTTTTCTTTAGTGGTGTTATTGTGCAGCCCAAGCATTTCAGTAATTTCCTAGCCTTGACTAAATTCACCTGCATACAACCTTATACTCCATATGTACACCAAAAATCCTGGTCTGCCAGGACTGCACATCCACTGAAACTAAAACAGTATGAGAATCTATTCAGCTTTACACAACAGGGACAACAGAGTGTCATAAGGAAACCAGCCCCCAGATCAATCCTGTTAAGCCTTGTCTGTGAATGTCTGTTTTATCTATTATTTAAAATGAAAATGCTCACTAACTGCCTACTGTGCTCAGGCAAGCCACATACAGCAGAGAAGTGGACCTAGTAGAATATAATAATGGATGGTGGCAAATTGGAAAATGCACACTCACTTTAAAGGGAACAGCAAGCTACCTAACCACAAATTGTTGTCTTGCAGGATTATGGAACCAACGTGGTCAGATTTGTTTTTTGAAACCCAAAATTTAACTTCTAATGTCTCAATTTTTAAGGTGCAGGTATAATTTAATACATCTACAAATCAAATAAAGTGTATATACTTATAGTAATTCTATTTTTTACATAAAAAGAACTTTCATTTCAATAGAGACTAAACTAAATTAAAAATTGATCGACAAGCCTATTATCTTTACTATCAAATAACATAAAATGGAAAAACTTATGTCAATATTTTAAGCTAATTTAGATAAGTAAGAACATTTTAAAAATGAAAATAATAAGATAAGTTAGTGACTAATTTCTCTGTCTACATAAAATGAACACAGAACTTCTATATGTCAGAAAATTATAAAAGAATTCAAAGGTAAACTTCAAAGCAGAAATAATATTTCCCAGTAATATCTGACTCTCATACACCACCAATGAGACTATTGATTGCCTCCACCTTTCTAAGAAACAGTTTAACAGTATATATCAAGAAGGATAAAAATAATATAAGCTTTGACCTAGTGAACCAATTTCTAAGAATTTATACTAAGGAGATTGTTTGAAATAGTTTCATGTATGATTAAAATTTTATTTACATGGGTGATTATTCTAGAATATTGATCACGTCACATAAACTATTTCTCATGTTATTTATTACATCAAATATTGGAAATAGGCTAACGTCCAGCATTAAAAAGGATAAATAATCATAACCAATTCAATAGAAATTATTTTACACTCTTCATAACACGATGGTTTTAAATATTTTTTAAGATATAAGGCAAATACTGATATTTAACTTAGCTTTTTAAAATATCATATAAAATCACCTACAATCTACCACTGGTTTTTAATGGCTGCTTGCAGATTAGAATATACCTTCTGGAAATGTTCCTGAATGCCTCCGAGCATAGCACATGAATATGTATATCCTACCATTTTGTTTTTCCCTCCCTTCTCACCTTCATCCTCTTCTCTCTTTCTCGTTATGCACTAAGCAATGTATCAGAGATATATTCATGGTTCATTACATTTTTTAGTGTAATTTTAGATGAGTATGCAACATTCCTTCGTATAACAAGTACAAACATAAGCATCTAATCCCTTATTTATTGTTTTTTAGGTCCTCTGCAGTTTTTTGTTGTTGTTGATGATGATCTTCCTGTCATAGACAATGCTGTAAAGAACAGACTAGTAAGTATAACTGTATAAACTCCAGCAACTTTTTTCTGTAATGTTTCCTAATTGAGAAGTTACTGGGCAAAAAGCAGACACATAAAATTCTAATAGATATTCTTAGATTTTCTGTAAAGTTAGTATCAAGTTAAATTTCTACAAGTAGTGTACCACAGTATATGTTTTTCCCAGTACTAAATATGAGCAAAGGTTTTTGAATTACGCAAACCTGATAGTCAAAAAAACCTCATTATTGTAACTGTATGATCTTGACTACTAGTGAGGTTAAACACCTTCTTTTTTTTTCTTTTGCTTTTTGACAATAACTTTCATCTTAAATGAATTACCTTTTATTTATTTATTTATTTGTTTATTTATTTATTTTTCTTAGACAGGGTTTCACTCTGTCTCCCAGGCTGGAGTGCAGCAGTGCCATCATGGCTCACTGCAGCCTCAACCTCCTAGACTCCAGTGATTTTCCCATCTCAGCGTCCTGAGTAGCTGGGAGTACTGGCCTGCACCACCATGCCTGGCTAATGTTTGTATTTTTCTTTTTATAGAGAAGAAGTTTCACCATGTTTCCCAGGCTCATCGTGAACTCTTGGGCTCAAGCTCTCTGCCCACCCTGGCCTCCCAAAGTGCTGGGATTACAGGCATGAGCCATTGTGTCCAAGCTGAATTATCTATTTATATCCTATGCCCATTTTTATTATAATATTTGTTTTTTACATAATTTCACAGAAAGTTTTAGTCAAAATTAGGAAAAATTATTACGAAAGATTATTTCTAAGGAATATCATAATGAGTATTTTAACATTGAATTTTAAATTTTTTTCATTTAAAATTTTATACATGTATCATTTTTATGCTATAAAATTATATAACCATTTTACTTAAAAGGCAATAAAGGATATGATGATCAGCATGTAAGTCATAAAACAATATAAAGGTTTCATATGATAGAAACCCATTTTTATTCATATAAACCTCCTGTAATTCCAGGCTCATTTTTTTTTACTAGTTATTTGACTCCAGCATCACTCATACAGCATTTCTGTATGTCTTGATAAGTCCACAGGTTTTCTACATTTTTTGAGCTAAATCGTGATGAAGCAGATGATAATCTGAGGCTTGCCTGCTATATTGTGAAAATCTGTCTGTGCTTGTAATAAAGGCTTCATCTCCACAACACCTAAAGTATGTGTCAAGGGTGGATAATTGAAACTCTTTTTTTAAAATGGAAAACACCATATTACACGAATTATTTGTGTGAATTACTCATTTCTTTATTTTAATATAAAGTATACATTAAGGCTTCTAAAAAAATACTTTTGTTTGTTTTCAAAGGTAAAGAAAAGCAATACACTTTTGAAATTAATAGACAAGAGAAAAAAATAACATGTCTCAAATAGAATTGGGCTAGTTTAGTGCTGATTATCTCTCTCTCGTATGGTTTACATTATGTGTGTTTGTTTAGAAACATCATTTTACTAATCTTTGGGATATTGTAGCCAAGTAGTCTGCAGAGTTTTGCTGTTCAATTTATCTTATCTTTAATATTGATTTGTGGGCTCTTAGGGCCATCAGCTATACTACGAAAAGGTCCTCTTTTGTTGGTCCTTTGTCATTTATTTCTTGTTTCCAATCCATCAGCACATTTTCTATTAAGTTCCTATTTTGTTAAAGGCAAGACGCTAAGCAAAAGGCAACGAATTATAGAAATTACAACCTGCCCTTTAAAAGCTCGTAGTCTGTGCGGGAGTGGAAGGACTATAATATTTAAAGAGAATTAAGATAATTTAATAAGAATTATTTCAACAATAAGCATTGAAGATTTTGTTTTCATTTTGTTACTTGTTTACATGTTTTTACCTGGAATAAAATATAAATGTTTTAGTGCCCATAGCTAAGAGAGGCGATAGGGCAGTGAATAACATAATATGTGTGGCTATAATATGGTTGTAGGTATAGACTGTATATAGAAAAAAAAAGAAGAAAAAAACAAATTCTGAAAGACTCAGAAATAAATCTATTACTGAAACTATTTGGTGAAGACTAAGCTATTGAAATGTCAATAATTGATTTCACATACATTATTTAGCATTGGTCTCTTTAATTGGGAAATTGTTGTTTCCAAAAACTAAATGGGAACTTATTTTTTATGTGATAGAACACGGAGATCTTTCGTGACTCAGCGATGGCTGGATTCAGAGGACAAAAGATTGGTACAAGCAGTGACTTTTCTCCATCTCTTGGTTCTGTCTGCCTCTGTTTTGGCCCTGGGCAGACAAGCATGCCCCATTGTGGTGCAAAGAAGGCTATGGAAGTTTCAGCCTCCTATCATTCTGGGTTTTAGTATATATATATGATATGATTTTTTTTTTTTTTTTTTTTTGAGTCAGAGTCTCGCTCTGTCGCGCAGGCTGGAATGCAGTGACGCGATCTCGGCTCACTGCAAGTTCCGCCTCCCGGGTTCACACCATTCTCCTGTCTCAGCCTCCCCAGTAGCTGGGACTACAGGCGCCCACCACCTCGCCCGGCTAATTTTGTTTGTTTGTTTTTTAGTAGAGATGGGTTTTCACCGTGTTAACCAGGGTGGTCTTGATCTCCTGACCTTGTGATCCACCCGCCTCGGCCTCCCAAAGTGCTGTGATTACAGGCGTGAGCCACCGCGCCCGGCCGATGATATCTTTTTAAAGTCAAGTTGAAAAAAGCCCCAATTCAATGCTTCAAATCAAGGAGCATGCCTATCTCTGAGCCAACCTCTGTTGATGGGAAAACAGAATGCACTAAATGGCTAAAGCCTGAGTCAATATATACCCTTGAAATAGGGGATTTAACCAGCTCCACCAAAACAAGCAAACTGAAAGTGGGGTTTGCCACTCCTGAAAGGAAAATAAAAAAACAAAATGATTTGTAGATAATCTACAAGCAGTAAGCTTGATGATATGAAGCAAGAAAATATCAATTAGGTGATTGTGGGGATTCATTTTTAACACTTAGAGTTCACATACTTGTATGTTTTGTATGAACATATGAATAGAATGTTAACAAGGTAGCCAACATATCTAAATGTTGTTTAAAGAAGAGAATTTCAATGTTAGGTGGAGTGTTGGGGAATAAGCACAGGTAAAATGTTAAGAAAAAGAATCAGTAGGCAAATTTAACAGTAAATATCAACATTTTTATAACTGCTTCACCATTTTACACACAGTCATATCTTGAAATTCATCATAACGAAAAAATTGGTCAAGCAAAAATGAATATATATGTTTATTGCATATGCTTAATATCAACATGGGAAAACCACTAAATGATGAATAATAAATAATTAATTGAATAACCCATATAGTGAAATACTTTGGAAGCATTGAATAGCATAATTAGTTTTTTGTTTGTTTGTTTTGAGACAGAGTCTTGCTCTGTCACTTGGGCTCAAGTGGAGTGGCACGATCTTGGCTCACTGCAACCTCTGCCTCCCAGGGTCAAGCGATTCTCCTGCCTCAGTCTCCAGAGTAGCTGGAATTACAGGCATGCACCACCATGCCTGGGTTATTTTTGTATTTTTTTAGTAGAGATGGGGTTTAAACATGTTGGCCATGCTGGCCTTGAACTCCTGTCCTCAGGAGATCTGACCACCCAGCACCCAAAGTGCTGGGGTTACAGGTGAATGTTATAATGAGTTTTTATAAAATAAACTATTGCACAAAAAAGTTAAAAAAATAGTGTGTGTAATATGATCATATTTACATATATTAATTCTTAGAGAAGGTTTGGAAGGTTGTTTACTAAGATATTTTAAAATTGATTATGTCTATATTGTGGGGCTAGAGGCAATTTTTGTTTTTGCTTAGTTGCATTTTCTATTTTGTGGAATAAAAAAATGTAATTTTAAAATTTATAATAATAGAGGGAAAGGAAAATTTCTTGATTTTCCATTTCAAAGTAAAAGACAATTTCAATGACATTAAAAATAAATGAGTGTTAGCATAGTTTGAGTATTTTAGCTTTATTTCTTTAAAATACATGCAGAATATGGCACATCAGTTAGCAAAAGAAAAAAAAGTGACCTGTGTGTATAGGCTTGTGTATGTATGTGAATACACATATATTTACACATACATTGTACAACTCTCACCTCGCTTTTATTTTTTTTCCAGATTTTATATTATAGTTAGTTTTAACTAAATGCCAGCTTTTTTCCCTATTACCAAGCCACTGAATTACATAAAATGTATAAAATGGAGCATTGCTATTGTGCGTCTGGAATATACATGAGCCAAAAGAACCATGCAATTGCGAGTAAGAAGAGAATTACAGTTTTAGCCTCAAAAGACCCTTGATCACACATCACTCATTTTGAAATATAACACTTGAAGAATGTGAAATAAGACTTTGAAAGTTTTTTTGGAAGATATTGCCAATATCTTGCAGAATAAAATCTACCATGTTTCCAAATATTTATAATAACTGACATAAAAAATAAATACAACTATCTAAATCCAAATAACTTTTGATTTAAAAGGAAAATATAACTTAAAGAGGTGCATGAGGGAATCACAGAATGTCAAATCTGGAATGTCTTAGAGATCATCTAGTTTTAATCTTATATTTTATAAATATGACCAGCTGGAAACCATGATGCAAAATGACTCACCTGAAGTCCTGAAGCTCAGTGAGGGGAAATTCAAGATCACATTGCCTGACTCACAGTCCTTTGCTTTTGTTGTTAAGCTACACTGCTAAAGCAACCACAAATGAGCTCAGTACTCCTTGGATTTTCCTCCCTGTGGGTCTGGAGAAACAATGATTTGGCTTGTGCTGTCAAATAACAGATATAGCCTTTGAGTCAAGTAAACTACTTACCTCAGTTTATTTACTGTGTAACTTTGGACACATTAGTTAAGCTCTCTGAGCCTCACTTTTCTCATGTTTTAAATGTTTAAATACTATCTTCATAAAAGTATTGTGAAACCTTTATATTTTGGAGATTACATGTATGAAGAACCTAGTATATACCAGGTTTTAAGTAGATTGGTCTATTTCCAGTGTTCCCAGACTATCTTGCACAGGACTAAAACTGATCACCCTGTCAACTTCTTAAGAATACTGATAAGGTATTCTTTTCAGATGGCCCTTAAATTTTGCCTAAGATACAAGATACTGATTCTTAATTCTCCATTTACTGTATTTAGTCATCTCTTTTATTTTATTTAAGAAAATATGACTTTTTATTACAATGGAAAGGAAGATTTCACATTGATCAATTTGAAAATGAGATAACATAGACATTCTGTCAACCATGTTTTGTCTAAATTTCCAGAGTGTGCATTTCATCTTTTTTATTCTAGAAGATAATGTATGTGAGCATTTCTTTTATTAGGCTTCATAATCTCTCTCTCTCTCTTTTTTTTTTTTTTTTTTTTTGAGACAGAATCTTGTTCTGTCACCCAGGCTAGAGTGTGGTGGTGCAATCTCGGCTCTCCACTACCTCTGCCTCCCTGATTCAAGTGATTCTGTTGCCACAACCTCCAAAGTAGCTGAGACTACAGGCACTCATCACCATGCCTGGCTAATTTTTACATTTTTAGTAGAGATAAGGTTCATCATGTGGGCCAGACTGGTCTCGGACTCCTGACCTCAAGTGATCTGCCCACCTCAGCCTTCCAAAGTGCTGGGATTACAGGTGTGAGCCTCATGCCCGGCCAGGTTTCCTAATCGTTTAAATAAGCTTAATTTCTATTTGCTTCAAGATGGGTTATCCACAATGTATGTTTCACTGTCTTTATTTAAAAATACACATCTTTATTAAAACTACATATAGTTAAAACTACACTTATAGAGGTGATTAATCATTATTAATTAATATCTGGGGAGACATTGATACTATTTCTTTACATTAAGCTATTTTAAGATCTCATTTTGAGCAGTAAAAGTTTAATATATAACTGAGGTAGTATTTCTCAGGCTCTAACCACCACTTCAGGGATGTATATCCCATTAGAATCAAGGAAATGGAATACAACCACAGAGAGACCTTAAAAGTATCATGCTGAAAGCAAAAGGCATTTTCAGCAGTCCAAGAAATCATAATGAGGTTCCATCATCAGGGTATGCAAAAACCACCAGAATAACCCCTTAGCACCGAGAGTACCCTTTTGGCATAGAAAGGAAAGTACTTAATGGGATGAAAAAAGCTGTGGGTTCCATTGTGAACAGATCATTCTAGGAAGTGCTTAGATGGGAAATACTGAGTAGAAGTTACCAGGAAACAGATTTCAGCCTGTAAAATGAAGAACACTTAAATATTCAGAACTTTTTAAAGCTGCCAAGGAAATGGTGAATTTTTTGGCACACATCTCTTCATGAGAAGATTGGTATATTTAAACGTGCTCCATAATTTCCCTAAAATATGAAAAATTATCTTATTCAATTTATTTTAAAGAAAAATAACAAAATACAGTATTAAAAGTGATTCTTAGATTACAATAACTTTGAAATCTTCTTTACTATGATATTAAAAGTAATTTGCAATGTTAAAATATAATACTGTTTAAGATGTATTTAAAAAAATCAGCTATTGGTTTAGTACTTGAAAATAGCTTTAACTTTGACTGTGCAATGATCTTTAAAACCATGATTTTTATAGACATTAACTTGATATTGTGTTAAAATTAAAATAACCATTATATTTTAAAATTAAATCAAAACAATTATAATATTTTAACTAATTTCTTAGGTTTGTTAATTTCTCAGTTTTAGCTAATTAGATTAGCTTTAACTAATTTCTTAAATTAGTGGCAAACCCAATAAATCCAATGCAAGTCTTTATGTTTATCTTTTTGTGTTGAGCACATATATGCATGCACTTGTATTTTGCAGTTGGATATTGAATAAATATAAGAAATTCTCCATAGATCTGACTGGATTTAGAGAAGGAAAATGTAGTAAAAAAGAATTGTGATGCATACTTATTTAATTAACTGTATTATTTCCAGAAAAATTCTGTCAATTAAAATAATGGTTTAAAAATAGTAAAATATTAAAAACAATAATAATGAAATGATACTTATTTGTTAAAATCTTTGCATATATTACTTATGAAACATATTTCTTATTTCTTATTATTACATGAAGAGGTGCGAAGTCAGGAGTAGATTTTGAAAGGAAATTCAGGACACATAACTTCCCTGTAACATAACATACCGAGAGCTTAGATCAAGTTGTTGTAGTTCTTGAAATATTTAAACCTGGATGATTAATATAAGTTCTCTGGGGTTCAGTGTCCTCATTTTTAAAACAAGTATGCTCAAACTTCAAATGATATTATAAGCTAACAACAAACATAAA